TTGTTACTTCACTCTACCACCGAACAGATGTGAAGATGTGCATTCAATTCAAATCTGAATCAGCCGAATTTTAACTCAGAAAACTTTGGGAAAACACCACAGTAATGTTCCTGTGACTTGTGACAAAACCTTGGGAAAACACTACAGTAATGTTCCTGTGACTTGTGACAAAACAGTAATGTTCCTGTGACTTGTGACAAAACTTTGGGAAAACACTACGGTAATGTTCCTGTGACTTGTGACAAAACTTCGGGAAAACACTACAGTAATGTTCCTGTGACTTGTGACAAAACTTTGGGAAAACACTACAGTAATGTTCCTGTGACTTGTGACAAAACCTTGGGAAAACACTACAGTAATGTTCCTGTGACTTGTGACAAAACTTTGGGAAAACACTACAGTAATGTTCCTGTGACTTGTGACAAAACTTTGGGAAAACACTACAGTAATGTTCCTGTGACTTGTGACAAAACCTTGGGAAAACACTACAGTAATGTTCCTGTGACTTGTGACAAAACTTTGGGAAAACACTACAGTAATGTTCCTGTGACTTGTTACAAAACTTTGGGAAAACACTACGGTAATGTTCCTGTGACTTGTGACAAAACCTTGGGAAAACACTACAGTAATGTTCCTGTGACTTGTGACAAAACTTTGGGAAAACACTACAGTAATGTTCCTGTGACTTGTGACAAAACTTTGGGAAAACACTACAGTAATGTTCCTGTAACTTGTGACTCGTTGATAAAACCTTTATATATATTAACATCCTGTCTGATCTTACCTTAACATTGTATGTAGAGTTAGACTAGACAGTTTTCTGATCTGACCTCAACCTTAAGATCCATGTGGAGTTGGATTAGACAGTTTTCTGATCTGACCTCAACCTTAAGATCCATGTGGAGTTGGATTAGACAGTTTTCTGATCTGACCTCAACCTTAAGATCCATGTGGAGTTGGATTAGACAGTTTTCTGATCTGACCTCAACCTTAAGATCCATGTGGAGTTGGATTAGACAGTTTTCTGATCTGACCTCAACCTTAAGATCCATGTAGAGTTGGATTAGACAGTTTTCTGATCTGACCTCAACCTTAAGATCCATGTGGAGTTGGATTAGACAGTTTTCTGATCTGACCTCAACCTTAAGATCCATGTGGAGTTGGATTAGACAGTTTTCTGATCTGACCTCAACCTTAAGATCCATGTGGAGTTGGGTGAGACAGTTTTTTGATCTGACCTCTACCTTAAGATCCACATGGAGTTGGATGAGACAAATTGTTGTTACTATAAAGGTAGTTGAGTTCTATTTTTGCACTTTTTTCAAGGACAGAATAAAATCAGAAAGAAAAAAATTCAGGTATGAAATAGATACAGATAATTACGGTTCTTTCCTTAATTTCTGTTAAAAATACTGCAAGTGTGATAGTGTTGATTGTATTGTGTATTCTATTATAATGTTTATATTTCATCTATTTTTATATGCATCCGTTTGCCGCGTCGATCCATTTGAATTTGCATTTAAAATTAACTGATACTAAATTTCAAGTTAGAATATCAGTGTATTTCATAAAAACATTTTGGTTTTGCTGTTTAATCATTGATAACATAGTTGATCAATACTTTCAGGTGCTGCATAAAAATGATGTTTGTTTGGTTTCTATAAACCATTTTTTTTCTATTGAGGACCTTTGATTTATGTTAGCTATCGGCCTCATGTTTGATGTATTGGAAGGACTATCCTAGTGTAGAGGACACCTTAAGTTCTTAAAGCTTCTGGTGTCATGATCGGTTTGTAACCGAGGTGTTGAATCCCACAAAATCTCACTCAAGCCACAGGTTTAGAAATACATGTTTGCTTTAAATAGATTTTGATCATTGGCAAATATTAAAAGTGCTATCAGATATTTATATTTACACAGTTTTTAATGTAAACTTCAGGGCACTGTTTATATATATTTGTCTTTAACAAACCGGAAGCTGCAGGCACTAGTTCCTAATGCTTTAAGGGCTTTCAGTAAAACTGTAGGAGTATTGTATTGTAAAACATTGGACAAACTGGCTTGAGTTGGAGTCAAGTTTATGTCAACTGCTTAAATCTTTATATTTAATATGGAAATGTAGTTTCTGAGTCATATGGTGAGGAACATGAGAATCTTTTGACTTTTTTCTTTTAAAATCTGATATAGTTGAGTTTTGGTACAGTATGTTGATAGCAAGAATTGTGTTCTGGTCTGTCTCTGAAAAGGTAGGGGATAGCTAGGCTTGTGTCCTGGTCTGTCTCTGTAAAGTTAGGGGATAGCAAGGCTTGTGTCCTGGTCTGTCTCTGTAAAGGTAGGGGATAGCTAGGCTTGTGTCCTGGTCTGTCTCTGTAAAGTGAGGGGATAGCTAGGCTTGTGTCCTGGTCTGTCTCTGTAAAGGTAGGGGATAGCTAGGCTTGTGTCCTGGTCTGTCTCTGTAAAGTGAGGGGATAGCTAGGCTTGTGTCCTGGTCTGTCTCTGTAAAGGTAGGGGATAGCTAGGCTTGTGTCCTGGTCTGTCTCTGTAAAGTGAGGGGATAGCTAGGCTTGTGTCCTGGTCTGTCTCTGTAAAGGTAGGGGATAGCTAGGCTTGTGTCCTGGTCTGTCTCTGTAAAGGTAGGGGATAGCTAGGCTTGTGTCCTGGTCTGTCTCTGTAAAGGTAGGGGATAGCTAGGCTTGTGTTCTGGTCTGTCTCTGTACAGTTAGGAGATAAATAGGTTTGTGTCCTGGTCTGTCTCTGTAAAGGTAGGGGATAGCTAGGCTTGTGTCCTGGTCTGTCTCTGTAAAGGTAGGGGATAACTAGGTTTGTGTCCTGGTCTGTCTCTGTAAAGTTAGGGGATAGCTAGGCTTGTGTCCTGGTCTGTCTCTGTAAAGGTAGGGGATAGCTAGGCTTGTGTCCTGGTCTGTCTCTGTAAAGGTAGGGGATAGCAAGGCTTGTGTCCTGGTCTGTCTCTGTAAAGTGAGGGGATAGCTAGGTTTGTGTTCTGGTCTGTCTCTGTAAAGGTAGGGGATAGCTAGGCTTGTGTTCTGGTCTGTCTCTGTACAGTTAGGAGATAACTAGGTTTGTGTCCTGGTCTGTCTCTGTACAGCTAGGAGATAACTAGGTTTGTGTTCTGGTCTGTCTCTGGAACAGTTAGGAGATAACTAGGTTTGTGTCCTGGTCTGTCTCTGTACAACTAGGAGATAACTAGGTTTGTGTCCTGGTCTGTCTCTGTACAGTCAGGAGATAACTAGGTTTGTGTTCTGGTCTGTCTCTGTACAGCTAGGAGATAACTAGGCTTGTGTTCTGGTCTGTCTCTGTACAGTCAGGAGATAACTAGGTTTGTGTTCTGGTCTGTCTCTGTACAGTTAGGAGATAACTAGGTTTATGTTCTGGTCTGTCTCTGTACAGTTAGGAGATAACTAGGTTTGTATTCTGGTCTGTCTCTGTACAGCTAGGAGATAACTAGGTTTGTGTTCTGGTCTGTCTCTGTACAGTTAGGAGATAACTAAGTTTATGTTCTGGTCTGTCTCTGTACAGTTAGGAGATAACTAGGTTTGTGTTCTGGTCTGTCTCTGTACAGTTAGGAGATAACTAGGTTTATGTTTTGGTCTGTCTCTGTACAGTCAGGAGATAACTAGGCTTGTGTTCTGGTCTGTCTCTGTACAGTTAGGAGATAACTAGGTTTGTGTCCTGGTCTGTCTCTGTACAGTTAGGAGATAACTAGGTTTGTATTCTGGTCTGTCTATGTACAGTTAGGAGATAACTAGTTTTGTGTCCTGGTCTGTCTCTGTACAGTTAGGAGATAACTAGGTTTATGTTCTGGTCTGTCTCTGTACAGTTAGGAGATAACTAGGTTTGTGTCCTGGTCTGTCTCTGTACAGCTAGGAGATAACTAGGTTTGTGTCCTGGTCTTTCTTTGTACAGTTAGGAGATAACTAGGTTTGTGTCCTGGTCTGTCTCTGTACAGTTGGGAGATAACTAGGTTTATGTTCTGGTCTGTCTCTGTACAGTTGGGAGATAACTAGGTTTGTGTTCTGCTCTGTCTCTGTACAGTTAGGAGATAACTTTGGATGTCTATCTGTTCCCTCCACACAAGATGTTAACCACATATAAACCAAGACCTAGTGTTAAACAAAGTGTAGCCAAATTGACTTGAGTACATTGTTACCATCTTTGTATTTTTTGGTCTTCAATCTGTTTACCATTTTATCATTTTTTTTTTATCTTATGGTACATGGAATTATAGTATAGTCAAAAAAGTAGATAGATTCCCTACCATCTCGTATGCTACATGTGTTCATGCTGGTATGCTCCACTCTGGTCATTTATCTTGTGTTATAAGATGATGGTGACTCTAATCTTCTACTGGTTGTGTTATAAGAACTATAAGGTGGCTGTGTAGTCAGGGAAATGTCACATGCTCATCTTCTACTGGTTGTGTTATAAGAACTATAAGGTGGCTGTGTAGTCAGGGAAATGTCACACGCTCATCTTCTACTGGTTGTGTTATAAGAACTATAAGGTGGCTGTGTAGTCAGGGAAATGTCACACGCTCATCTTCTACTGGTTGTGTTATAAGGACAAACATGCTCAAGGTCAAGAAATCATTACATGATGATGGGATCTGATTAAGTTTGTCTACATCATGTTGCTGACTAAATAATTCCCATCAAATTTTGAAGAAAAAATCCACATTATCCTTAAGTTTGGCATATCTACAATTCTAACTTGGATCTGAGATGAAATCCATTTGTCAATTTACATCTAAATGAATTTCTTTTTGATCAGAATTACATGAAATTGAATCCCTGTTTCTTTGTAAACCTTGAATTGATTGATTGTTGGAGCAGACCTATAGATATGCCATTTCTAACTAGTGTTATCCAAACTGCTATGGAGAATGTGTATAATGTACTGATTGTGGCAGTCTGATCTCCTGAAATTTTTATCTAAAATTGGATGTATTGGTATTAGCATAAAATACTGTTTTGTATTTTCAGATAAAACCCGAGGGGAAAGCTGATGTAAGCGCCACCTTGAGGCTCGGGGATTATGTACTTGGTGTGAATGATGTGAAATGTGTGTCGCTGACCGAGGCAGTGCAACTGATTCAGAGTGCCTTCAGAACCCTAACACTGCAGGTTTGGAGGTAAGGGAGATAACTCATATTTCCTTATGCAGGACTGCAGTTATTGATGGTCATATAATGCTTTGTGATAAAATTTGTGTTCAGTTTGAATCATTGTTTACACCAGGAATGACATACATAAATATCATAGGGCTGGATACAGTATTAAAGTGAACCTGTGTTGTCTGACACCTTGTGGGAATACAAACATGTTGTCAGTTTAGGAAGCAGTTCTGAATACACAAGTTTTATGTAGTTGTTTTGTCAGAATTTGGAATACAGGGATATCAGAGTGATAAAGATTTTGTATTTACAAAAATTTTTTTATTGAAGAATCAGAATCAAATCAGACAAGGAAATCACTTGTTTATTATTTCAAGGAAATAATGCATGAGTGCTTTGTGTCTTATCCATTTATCAACAGTTTTGTATCCCAAACAGTTTGACTGATAAAATTCATATCAAGGTGGAGTTTGACTGGACCCAGCCCCCTCCAGATTAATTCATCATTAGGTTGATCAATTATTTAAGTGTAACGATACAGTTGTTTTCACCTTGTACCAAGTGTAGGGACAAGGATAAGAGAAAAATGTCAGTAAAGGGACACAACTCTTGTACCCTTATGCATTCTGTCATTGGGAAGGCTACCATTTGTTTCATGGAAGTCACACCAAAGAAATCAAGTAGAAAACAGTTTAAGTCTTCTCTGCAAAGGATTTTAATGATTTATCAAAATTAAAATATAATTCAGCATCTCATTTAAAAAAGTTTACAAGCATCACATAAACAGATAAAAACTAGTTCCGCTGCGGTAGAAAATTCTGTACTCCAGATAATACCTAGGATAATAATTATAATAATTAAGAGTTCTGTAACATGGACATAGTCTGTTGATATAGGTGTATAACTTACAACAGGCCTTTTATAATCCAGCTTATAATTTGTCCTGGAGTGGACATAATGCTTGAACTTAATAACCCTTAGACAAATATAATCCTACAACCAGTCATGAATTAAGGTCTGTAAGTAGATAGACTTTTCTTTCTAAAATGAAATTAAATAAAGTTTATAAAGTTTGTTGTGGTGGTTTAGATCAGTTGTGATGTTTGCGTGGAGTACATTAACATTAGGGTTAAATGTCACAGTCACTTTCTACTGGTGTGATTTGTAGAGATAAGAAAATAAAAGGATTTAAATCTATAATTTTAATTCTGCAACAGGATTACTGCTGCCAAAACAAAAACTGTTATGCTAACTTCATAACTTTTGAATTTGAAAATGGAAGATCATTAAGATTATGAAAACTTTTATCAACAGGGAATATTTGTGACCATATGTGGTCTTTGACTTTCGTGATGTGTGAAGGTTTTAATTCATATATCATTGCGAAACTGGACAGTTGAAAAATGTGAAACTTCATAGTGTTAAAAAGTACATTTTGCCTGTAAAATGTGTGACAATGTACTGTAAGTGATTTATATTTATCATCATGGCTGAGAGATTTACTGTCAAACGAGCGACTGGGAAACCACCCAGGTATCCCAGCATTAACAGGTAAGTCATGATACTTGGCTTACATCAAGAATTATGGTTTAAATATCGAACCTTGTGACTGTGTGCATATCTGTTCCAGTGTGTGTGTTTGCATCAGGAAAACTTATTATCCCTTCATGACAGTGGGGGGTGTAGCATACTGGGGACTTATTGATTTTGGTCAAACTTAAAATAATGATAAGTTTTAGAAAATATGGCACATATTTAATTTCCTTTCTTGTTAGGGTCAAGGTCATGGTCATTTTAACTTTTTACAGCTTTGATTTGACAGTTGTCAGTAAACTTTGTTTCTGAATTAGATTCTACAAAACTTCATAAACAGGTTAAAAATGAGAGAATCTTGTATATGTTTTATACTCAGGTTAGTAGGGTCAAGGTCATTGTAACTATTACTATATATAGATGTCCTGTTTCATCTATTGTCTGATTATTTCATCTCTTTAAAGAGTGCCATGGGAAAAAATGTCAAGTATGGGAATACTTAATATTTTTGGATACTGAGGTCAAGGTCACTACTCTTTTTCAAAGAATTTTTTATTTCCTGAATAAATGCATTTCAGATAACATATACATTGTGTACTTGAAGTGTGTGAAATTAGTGTATTGTAATATGGTATAACCTTAAGACTACATATTGAACATTACTGACTTAACTTGAACTGTTAACCACCATCGATAGTCTACCTGTTTTAAGAACCAGTGATAGAATTAAGATGTATGTATTAATCTTTCTGGTTTACTGAGCAAAGTCTTCAAATATATTTGCAAAATATATCCGTAATCTTGTATTTCAGAAATTACCTGGGGTGAAGTTTATCGTTAGAAAATTCCCTGCCTGAAATGTACTTTACACCTATAGTCTTTAACGTAGCGTGCAGATGTCTCGTCAGGATTAGAGACTTGACCGCTAGCTGCCCTTACTCTAAAGCTTATGTTTACTTATATATAGTCTTATTAAGCTGCTTATATACAAGATATGTGTGGAGTCGACATTTTATTCATAAAATAATTATTCCCAAGGTAAATAGATGATAGAAGGAAATAAATAACAGGATTAGTTTGACTTTTTTTTCTGGTATCACAAGTCTGGTTTTTATCTGTCTGTACAACTACTACCTTAGACATAGCAAAAAGTATTTTATCATGTTTTGTTGTGATGTCTTAAATTTTAATTCAAATAAATAATATTTTCATTTGAAATATTATTTTTAAGATTATCAAAGTGGATTTTATTTGATGTTTTTCTATAGATAAAGTGATTATCAATGTTAAAATCTTCAACATGAAAGTTTGAATATGTGTATTCTTGTGGTCAATTTCTTCATGAATACAGCAAAATTGTGTGTTTTATTGTTCAACAAATTGCTATCACTAGTAAATAAAATAGAAACGGCAGGAGATAAGAACTAGAGATCATTGAAAAAGTAGACAATGTCAATTAAAGATACACACTTATATTTGTGTGTTAACATACTGTATGACCTTCAAGTATGAAACAGTGTTTGACCTTGAAAATTTTATATCACAAATTTCATTTGAAATTGACAATAAGTATTAATGGTTTATAATGATTGAATGTAAGTCAATCTTTAGTATAGGCACATATCCCATGACCTTGAACCACTTTGACCTCTTATAGTTGTGGTTGATACAGTAATGAACTATAGTGCAAGGGTCATGTTCCAATGAAATGACACTGTACATTTGAGGTTCATGTGCTTTTGACATTTAGCTAACTATAACAATCAATTTGAATACATGACCTTTATATCTCAGTGACCTCCAGTAATTGAAAATCTTAAAAAAATGACCTTGAAAGGCAAAGTTGCATTGACAAGAACTTGACCTTGAATGATCACATGATGTGATTATGGCCTTCCTGCGACACTGACTTTGAATTGTTGAGGTACACAGACTAATATTGACAGTTTACTGTGATCAGAGAAGTTACATATTACCTGGTAACTCCATTGCTAATGCAACACAGTCTGACAATTTAACTCTCTTCCCTAATTAGTTCATCATTTTTTTTACAATTCACACTTAAAACTCTAAAATAATGTTTTATGACCATACCATGAGTTTTCCAGTTATTTTTCACACTCTGCCAGTCTCTCCCTTCTCCCTACATCTCACGGTACAATTTCTGTAAAATAACATTCTTAAATCAGAATTATGAAATATTGGGAAAAATATAATGATTGAAAAAAAGTTACTTATAAAACCTTAAATTTCCAGGTATAGAAAATCTCCAACATTTGGATCTTTTATATGACTTGTTACAGATATGTCTGGATTTATCCAGAGAGTTTGTGATGGACATCTTAACAAATATTTGTACTTTAAGATCTGTACATGGATTGTCAAGCATTTTCAAGTTTCCTGTCAAAAGTAGTTGAACTTTTACATCTTTAAGATAGCTGTATGACATATTTGTTATTCATATTGAATGTTAATAGTCTTATTGGAAATTAATTTTGATTTCTATAACAGTATGACAAGACTCTTAACGTCAAAGTCATTTCACATCTGTCACGTTAATCTGTAAACCCCAGCAGGAATTCTGGTAAAGTGTTTGTCTTAGATATATAGAATATTTTGGAGCCAGAACTTTTGATTTGTAGTAAATGCACAATGTTTTGATGTACAGAATTAAATTTGGTAGAGTTTTAGGATCTTGCTAAAGGATTTTTTAAAGGAATTTTAAGGAATGAAATTATATTTGAATCAAATATTGACAAGAAATACAAACACAAGTTTTCTAAAATATTAAGATAGCTCTTTTAATATATAGCTATATGGAGCGTTTATGTTCATAGCGAGATGAATTTGAATAGAAAAAAATAATTGTTAATCTATCCTTGATGGAAATGTGTGAAATCATTTATTTCAAGAGCCCAAAATTATGAGATACCTTTAGGGAGCTTAATTGTGATAGTACATGACTGAAAAAATTACCTGAGTTCTACGCTCAACCATATGATTGACACTTAAATTTTAAAATGGATTTTACTTTTCACTTCTTAACCTTTCTTAGGATATTCCCCTACAAAAGGATGAAATAACTCTACATAAGAACTGCTATTAATAAATACTGATATAAAAAGTAGAATAAGATTAATGGATTTAACTGAAGGTATTTTCAGTAATTATTACACTTTAAACAGATAAGAAAATTTGATTAATTCCATCTATCAAAACTCGGGTTTATTTATCGTAATTCATTACAGATTGGACAGATCATGCTACGACATCCCAATTTATTATGGGGTTAAGAAAGGTTGTGTAACAACGCCAGGGTCAATATTGACAAATCAACTCTTCAGGTGTGATGTATTTATAAAATTTATCTCGTTAAGCATTCTGTATTTTATTAACATACTGGAGACAAGTGTCAGGTTTCAATAGTAGAATTCCACAAGATAAGATTCACAGGTATGAGGGTGAAATTATAATTTCTTTACTAAACAT